AACATTAAAAAATGACAAGTTGCAGAAGTGTCCTTGGTCTCACAGTTTTGAAGGACTTTAGGTAAAATCTGCTAGCATGGGTTATGGGAAGATCTGAGAATTCCAAGTGGGCAAATTCAGAGTCTCTGGTTTGCTCCCACGATGCGTCAGAGACTCTTGAATATTTTGACTGATTTTGCTGTCTCCTACCCAGAGAGTTACAGTTAAGTTCATTTTAGCAAACATGCATTAAGGATCAGCTTTGTGCCAAGCCCTGACCAAGAGGTGCTAGAAAAATTGGCCAAGATACGCTGAACTCCTTCTTTGAGATGTCCAATCCAATAAAAGTCTTGGTATTTTAGACCTTGGGGAATATGGTGGCCAAGTCACCTTCTTTTCTAGAAACAAAGTAGAACTGGTTCTTCTTGGCTTAGGCTGGACTCCCCGAAGCTCCGTGCTGTGGGAGGTGACAACTGAGCACCCCTTTGCTGTCCCTGCCCCACTCAGAGCCCTAGGCAAAGGATGACAAAGGGAAGCCCAAAAGTCACATGGCCAGGTGAAGTGGGGCGGTGTGAAAACTTACAAGTCCAGAAAAATTAAAGATGTGAGAACAAAAAAGCTCAGTCATCAACCAATTTATCCACTGAGATCTGATTCTTAGAATCTACAGCTTTTCAGAGCAGGCCAGCCCCGTTCTCCCCATATGTGTAGCATTACAGTCCCAGACGTGATACTTTATAATCAACACTTTCTAGCCCTAGATTGTATTTCACAAAAATCTCACCAGTAATGGTAAAAACAAAATGCTTTTTAAGATCCTTTAGCAATTGTTTGACAGTTAGACATGTTGGAGTATGAACACGCTCCCGGAGATTATACCAGTTATTTTAATCCTAACCAGTTAGTATAGTTTCATCTGGTTGAGGTTCATTCCTTTCTCTCTAGTTCGGCCTCAGCGTTCTTCCATCAGCAGTAGTACCCCCGCAGGGCTGTGCTACCTGGACCAGCAAGGACAATGCCCTGTGAGGAGTAGGTGGCTTCTGCAACCCTCTCCAGAGATGTCTCCATTCTCCAGAGATGTTCCCACCTGGCCATCTTAGTCTGGGTGAGAAACCCAGAGGTCCAGAGATACTTTAATGATTACCTAGCATACATCAATTGATAGAAGGAATCATACTAAGTCTTTGAGAATTCTTTCCTATTAAAACATTTTAAAAATAATGACAATAATTACAGGGAACAAGAATCATTGGGTAACATGGTGGGCAAGGCCATTATCATGGCAACCACAGATTGCCATGGTGTTCCTTGCAATCAACTTGCGGATCTGGGGCAAAACATCACCATGTAACTCCATGGGTATGATTTGGTAGAGGTTTAGGTACAGGGTATAGGTAGGTCATTTTTGTTGATCTAACAAGAGTCAAGAGTGAGGCTTGCAGCCCCCTTGGGCAACCTTTTTCTCAGCCTGGTTTCCATGGCAGTGCGTCACCCTGTGGCTTTCGCCAGTACTTACTTGTGTTGATCTTCTGCAGACAGATATGCTTTTCCAGCAGCCTTCGCAGCTTCACCTCAGCACCATACTTGCCCAAGGTGCCATTGTCAGCCAGTATGAAGTGAGTGTGGGAGTTGTTGAGCACAGAGAGCTTACTGAGAGGATTGGACATGGTCTGGTACACTCTTGTTACCTGACAAAGCGCACAACACACATCAGAACTGCAGGACTTAGGACATGAAGACCAATGAGGGAGGTGAGCAGAATACATATGTTAGGAATGACTGTACTAAACCTGATCTCATTTCTCTACCCTGCCTTTTGAAGGTTTTCTTCTTTGCTGACTGCTATACTAAAATAGAAAGAAGATTAATTATTTTGGATAATGACAACCTGGCAATTGCACTCCTGGGTGTTTATCACAGATAAATAAAAACTTATGCTAACACAGAAAGCTGTATGTAAATGTTTATGGCCACTTTATTTGAAATAGTTAAGCCAAACAACCCAAATGTACTTCAACAGATAAATGATTAAACGAACTGTGATACATTTATATCATGGAATACCAATCATAATAAAAAGGAATGACTATTGATACATATGACAACGTGGACAAATGTCCAGTGAACTGTGTGGGGTGAAAAAAAGCTAGTCCCTAAAGGTTACATATATATGATCCCATTTATAAAACATTCTTGACATGAGGGGACAGATTAGTAGTTGCCAGAAGTTAAGGATGGGGTGTGGGTGAAAGGGAATTAGATATAGATATTAAAGAGCAATAGGAAGGATTCTTGTGTTGATAGAAATGTTCTGCATCTTGACCGTATGAATGTCAGTATCCTGATAGTGATATTGCACTATACTTTTACAAGACGCTACCATGGGGGGAACTTTCTTTATTATTTTTTACAACTGCATCTGAACATACAATTATCTAAAATGAAGACTTTTTTTTTTTTTTAGTAGGTGTTTATTAAGAAGACAGAAAAGCTCCCCCAGCAGGAGGGGACCCAGAAGAGGGTTGCCAATGAAGACTTTTTTAAAAAATTGCCAATGTCTACAGAGAAAACACTTACGTCCTTTCCAATCAGGTCTTCTTTATTCTCCACGATGCCCCATGGAGCAATTCCTATAGCACAAACCCGGCCTCTGGACTTTGAGGAGTGGTCTTTCAAGGCATCCCCCACATGGCTGATGACACCTGTGAGCAGCATCAGTCACATTTTAGGTCCTTCTACTTCCAATCATGCCATCATTCATGAACTTTAGGGACACCTGTGCTGAGCTCCCACCTTTCCTATAGAATATGGAGGAGACATACTTATTTTCATCATTAAAAAAAAGTTTACTGGAAGTCTGAGCTCATAATTACTAGTAGCCCTGCATTACCTCCTAGAAAAGCAGAAATAAAAACAGAGATTAATGCAACTGTGTAGAGATTTCACTTTCTTTACAAGTTTCTAAGACCTAAAGATGGAACTAACTGGAGGTTCTTGCTAGACTATGGCTATCTGCAGCTAAAGTTGAGAGCCAGACTGCCTGGCATGCTCCTTAACCACTCTATGCCTCAGTTTCCTCTCTTATAAACTGGGGAAAAGATTGTTGGGAGATTCAATGAAAATGATGCTTCAGCAGGACTCAGTTCAGGGAATAGCACATAGTGGGTGACCTAGAGACACCGATCATTATCACTGTCATTAAGGTACTTGTTAAAAAAAATACCCCCCCCAAATAAAAAAGCTACAGAATAAAGATTTCATTCTTGTCATAAGTATGATCAGGCTGCAATATGTTTTGTTGTTTGTCCTTAATTTGTAGGAAGCTCTATGAGGACCATGGCAAGTTCTGGTTGGTACATTTACCGCAGGGGAAGGGCCTGCTCTCACCCGTACTGACACCCCCGGTGAAGATCCAGGCCCCGGTGGTCATGGCAGCCTTGATCAGGCCTTTCCCAAAGACCTGCTTCAGCTTGGGCTGCATCTCAAAGTTCTGGAGGCCTCCGTGCACGGATATTAAGAGCTTGGGGAGTTCCAGTTGCCAGTCTTTCACCATGAGATGAAGCAGCGAATCTGGCTTGGTGTCATAGGATACACGGATATACTGCAAAAGAGTGTGTGATGCTCAGCACCTGTTCTTGGTTTTGTTTCCTGTGTTAAAGGGGAACGAGTCTATCACTAATATCCAAACAAAAACTGTTTGTGGGTTGTTTCTCCCTCAGGGTCCTGGGCCCCCTGTGTGAGTCTGTGACCGAGTGACTGAAGGAAACTTTGTGGAGGATTGTCAGATTTAGCAAATACAAGATTTCCAGTGGTATGGTCTAAATGTTGTGTTCTTACTAAAATTCATATGTTGAAACCGAATCCCCAATGCAATAGTATGAAGAGGTAGGCCTTCAGGAGCTGTTTAGGTCATGAGGATGCAACCCTCATTAATGGAATTAGTGCCTTTATAAAATAGGCCAGAAGAGCTAGTCCGCTCCTTCTACCATGTAAGGATGCAGCAGGAAGGCACCATCTAAGAAGAGAATGAGCCTTCACCAGACACCAGATCTACTGGCGCCTTGATCTTGAATGTTCCAGTCTCTAGAAATGTGAGCAATACGTTTCTGTTGTCTATCAATTGCTCAATCTAAGGCATTTTGTTACAGCAGCTGAACAGACTAAGACATTCAGTTAAATTTGAATTTTAAATGAATAATGAAAAATGTTTTAGTACAATATTTTTACTAAAAGCCACAAATCATGCAATATTTGGAACATACTTGTGCTGAAAAACTATCTGTTGTCTCTCTGAAATTCAAATATAACTGAGTGGTCTGTATTTTATCTGGCAGTCCTAACCTTGGAGGAATCAATTCCAAAGCCGGCTTAGCTAGAACAATGACCCAAGAAGTTGGATATGGATATTGCTGGATGAGTCGGAAAGGGGATCATGGGTCCACATCTGAGTCTGACCTTCTCCTCAAAGTGAAGAAGAGGTTAATCATGGTCAGATGCCTTGGCCTCTATGAATTGCTTCTTTGTATCCCTGGGTGTCAATATGCAGAGTGTCATTCCGGAAGACTGTATGTTGTGGTATTTGGAATACAACTGAGTTTTATGTGAACAATGATGTTCGGCCAGTGAAATAAAATGAAATTTCAAAAAGACTCTGACTGGGCATGTAGGAGTATTATTCAGAGTTAGCTGGAAGGGCTCACAGTGTTGAAAACTTCACCCTCTGGAAGGGCTCATCGGAAAGGCGGCAGGCACTCATTGTTTACATACAAATGTGAGGGACCTTGGTCTTTCTTGGGCCAGCTGAGTGCAGGCCCAGGGAAGCTGTGGACAGACTTCAGAGAAAAATGTTTCCATAGACTCCCAACACATCTAAGGGGTGTTGTAGGTTCAGTTATATACATAAAAAAATTTCTCTCTCCTACTGGAGACGGAGAAGTAGAATGTGGTTGTAAGTTTGGACTAGAGCACGGTTTTTCTGGATTCAGAATTTTGGATGGATTTATTGGACATTACTTTTTTTTTTATAATGGTGTCCAGTTTTCAAGTATCATGGCGAGAAGTTATGTGAACAGATATATCTCTTGGTTTTGCAATGAAATATCTGGGAAGATTGAGCCACAACCATGAAGAAGACCCAGATATTTGCAGCCTGGGGCCTGGGAAACTGGCCTCTGATGAAACCTGTGCTCCCAGTGGCACCATGACCAAAGGCCCCCTTACCATGGCTTTATTGGAGTAGCCACCCCCCTGGAATTCAAGAATCCCATAGGAGTCTGTTGGGTAGCTCTGGGTGTGTTTGGCGACAGACCATTTCTCAGGCTGAGTCTCCACCTGTTTGTTTTCCTCTTCATTTTTGCTAGGTGTTGCACTTGGCAGAGGGGGAATATGCTGGTTGGTTAGCTGGCCACAGCAACACCTGAAAACAAAGGTAAAGCGAAATCTGTCTATAGCAGTCTTTTTCTTTTGCCCTTCATTAGTGAAGATGAATTAACCTGAACAAGTGAGTTGGGCCCGAATAGGGACATACTAACACCTTATTCATCCAGCTTTTTTAGGGACAGAATGCTCCTTGTGATGGTCTCTTTCAGATAATCAATGCATTTCTGTGTATGTATCAATCTATTTTAAACACGTTGAATGGCTGCCCTTCCTTACTGAACATATTTTAACCCTTTTTGATGACCTGACTACATCAATACAGGTATCGAGTACTGAATAGTTTGTGACAAAGTAGAATCATGCCCTCTGAACATAGAATTGACCTTCCAGTATTTTTTAATATTGCTGAATTCCTCTGTTGCTTAGTAAAACATTTCTCTATCCAGTAACATTGAAAGAATATTTCAAAAACGACCAGTATGTCTTTTCTGCTTTGGACAGCTGCCCCTTTGGGCCATAACCTACCCCAGCTTCAGGGATCCTGTTCTACAGCATCTCTCCCTAAACTCAGCCTTCCTCTTGTGCCCTCGCCATGTCCTCTCTTTCTGGTCTTCTCCAAATATGTTCCTTGGTGTTGTGCCGGCTTCCTTTCCTAGCATGCCTAGGGTTTCATTTGCTACTCATTTTGGCTGTCATGTTTTTGAATGAGCTGGACCTACCCAAAATTTGGAAAGTTTGTTAGGCGGAACAGCAGTAGTGCTGTCTTGGTGCAGATGGAACCCAGGGTTAATGACCTGGGAAGACACAGAGGGCAGGTGTATTTCTGGACTCGTGAGGAGCCTGTGTGGGCAGTTATGCACACCAGTAAGTGGGATGGGGAAACTGGAGGTGGAAGAGCTGGGGATGGAGTAGCTTGGGGACTAGAGAGGATGTCTTTACTGGGCTATAAGTGTGAGTGTGTATATGTGTGTAAAGCACGTGTGCAGAGGCTCTTGCCAGAAAGCTTTCTGTGCTCTCATGGGGCCTGCCGTGGGGCTTTCTCTCTGCCTTTCTAACTACTTTATTGGTGGCATGGGTCGCCATTTCAGGTTTTCTTTCCTTTCCTCCATCCTTTTCCCTTCTTCCTATCTTCCTTCTGTCCTCCCCCTTCTTTCTTTCCCTTTAAGATTGTTTTATTGAGATATAATTCACATAACTCCCAATTGACCCATTTAAAGTATGTGATTCAATAGCTTTCAGTATTGACAGACATGTGCAATCATCACTGCAGTCCATTGAAGAATGTTTTCATCACCTCAAAAAGCTTGGCACACTTTAGCTAGCCTCCTTCTATCCCCCACTGTCTACACATGCACCCCTCCCCCAGCCATAAGAAACCACAAATCTACTTTCTTTCTCTAGATTTCCTTGTTCTAGACATTTCATATGAACAGAACCATATTAGTATGTGGTTTTCTGTGATTTTTTTTACTTATAATTTTTCAAGGTTCATCCATGTTGTAGCATCACTACTTCATTCTTTTATGTGGTTGAATAATATTCCAATTTTAAAATGGACTCTATGTTTAAATCATTTGAAGAGTCATCAAACTGTTTTCCAAAGTGACTGTCTCATTGTACATTCCCACCAGCAGTGTATGAGAGTTCTGATTTCTTCATATTGTCTCCGAAACTTATGATCTGATATTTTGATCCTAGCCATCCTACTCAGAATGTAGCGGTATCTTATCATGACTTTGATTTGTGTTTCCCTGATGAATAAAGATGTCAAGCATCTTTTCATGTACTTACTATTTGTATATCTTCTTTGGAGAAATGTCTATTCAGATTCTTTGCCCATTTAAAAACTTGGGTCTTTTTATCATGGAATTGTAATAGTTCTTTATGTGTTCTGGGTACATGCCCCTTATCAGATATTCAATTTGCAAATATTTTCTTCCATTCTGTGGGTTGTCTTTTCACTTTCATGATAGCATTCCTTGAAACATCAAAGTTTTTAATTTTGATAAACACTTTTTTTGTTGCCTTATTTTTTCTTTTCTTTTTTTTTTTTTTTTTTTTTTTTGGTGCCATATCTAAGAATCATTTGCCAAATTCCAGGTCACGAAGGTTTACCTGTATATTTTCTCCTAAGAGTTTTATAGTTTTAGCTCTTACATTTAGGTGTTTGGTTCATTTTGAGTTGATTTTTATAGACAGTATGAGGTAAGGTACAAATCTATTATTTTGTATGTGGGTATTCAGTTGTTCTAGCATTACTGGTTAAAGTGACTATCATTTTATCATCGAAAGGTCTTTTCACCCTTGCCAAAAATTCATTTGCCATAGTTGTATGGACTTACTTCTGAATTGTCAATTCTATTCCATTTGTCTATATGTCTATCTTATGCCAGTACCATAGTACTTACCCCCCAGCCCCCACCATGGTGTTTTGGCTATTCCAGGACCATTGAAATTCTGTGTGAATTTTAGAATCAGCTTATTAGTTTCTACAAAGAAGTCATCTGAGGTTATGATAGGGATTGAGTTGAATTTGTACGTCATTTTGAGAGTATTGCCTTTTTAACAGTGATAAATCTTCCAATCTATTAACATGGGAAGTTTTTCCAATTATTTAGTGCTTCATTAATTTGACAAGTTTTTAAAGTTTTCAGAGTATAAATTTTGTAAATCTTTGAAGTTCATTCCTATGTATTTTATTCTTTTTGGTGTAATTTTATATGGGATTGTTTTGCTGGTTGCATTTTCATATTGTTCATTGCAAGTGTACAGAAATACACTTAATTTTTATATATTGATCTTGTATGCTATAACCTTGTTAAACTCATTTATTGGTTGTAATAGTTTTTTTGGCTTTTCATTCCTTAGAATTTTTTAATGACAAGATGATGTCATTTGTAAATAGATTTACTTCTTTCTTTCCAATCTGTGTGCCATTTAGTTCCTTCTCTTACCTAATTGTCTTGGCTTGAACTTTCATTGCAATGTTGGGTAGAAGTAGTAAGAGAGGAGATCCTTGTTTTGTTCCTGATCTTAGGGAGAAAGCATTCAATCTTTCACCATTAAGTATGATGTTAACTGTGAGTTTTTCATAGATGTTCTTTATTAGGTTGAGTAAACTCCCTTTTATTCCTAATTTTCTGAGTGATTTTGCCATAAAGGGTGTTGGGTTTTATCGAATGCTTTTCTGTGCCTATTAAGAAGAGAATGTGATTTTTATTTATTTTACTGATATGATGTTTTACATCAATTGTTTTTCTGATATAAACTAACCTTACATTTCTGGGATGAATACCACTTGACCATGATATATAATTATTTTTATATGTTGCATATTTTGTTCAGGATTTTTGCACCCATATTAATAAAAGATATTGATCTATAATTTTCTGTTCTTATTTTTATTTTTTGAGTTGGAGTCTCACTCTGTCGCCCAGACTGGAGTGCAGTGGCCGCTCCTGGCCACCGCAGCCTCGACCTGCTGGGCTCCGGCAATCCTTCCGCCTCAGCCTTCCGAGTAGCTGGAATTACAGGCGCGCGCTACCACGCCCGGCTAATTTTTTGATTTTATGGTAGAGATGAAGTCTCGCCTGCCCAGGCGGGTCTTGAACCCGTGGGCTCAGGCAATCCACTCACCTCGGCCTCCCAAAGGCGCGGGATTACAGGCTGAGCCACCGAGCCCGGCTAATTTTCTGTTCTTATAATGTCTTTATCTGGTTTTGGTATCTATGAAGCATTAACCTCATAAGATGATTTGGGGAGTGTTCTGTCCTGTGCTATTTTTTGGAAGAGCTTGTGAAAATTTGGTATTAGATCTTTAAATGTATTTTAGAATTTAGCAGAGAGGTCATGTGTGCCTGGGCTTTTCTTGGTGAGTAGTTTTTTGATTACTAATCCTATCTGTTTCTTTACCTTCTAGAGGTCTATCCAGATTGTGTATTTCCTCTTGAGTCAATTTTAGCAGTTTGTGTCTTTCTAGAAATTGCCCATTTCATCTAAGTTAACTAACTTGTTGGTGTACAAATCTTAGTATTTCTTTATACTCATTTCTATTTCTGTAAGATTCATAGTGATGTCCCCTCTTTCATTTCTGATTCTAGTTATCTGAACATTCTGTTTTTCTTCATAAATCTAGCTAAAGATTTGTTAGTTTTGTTGATCTTTCCAAAAACAGTTTTTGATTCCATTGAATTTCTCTACTGTTTTTTATTCTATTTTCCATTAATTTTCATTTTGTTATTTTCTTTCTTCTACTTGCTTTAGGTTTGGTTTGTGCTTGTTTTTCCAGTATCTTATGATGGAAAGTTGGTTATTCATTTAAGATTCTTCTTTCTTAACATACACATTTATAAATTTCCCTCTTAGCACTGTTTTAGCTGCATCCCTTAAGTTTTGGTGTATTGTGCCTTCATTTTCATTTATCTTAAAGTATTTTCTGATTTCCTTTTGATTTTTTCTTTAATCCATTGGTTATTTAGGAGTATGTTTTGAAACTCACATACTTGTGAGTTTCAAAACTTTTTCCTGCTATTGATTTCTTAGTTTTAATTCAAATTAATTGTGATTGAAAAAACACATTTTATATCATTTCTGTTCTTTTAGGTTTATTGAGACTTGTTTTATAGCCTAACTTGTGGCCTGTCCTGGAGTGTGCTCTACATGTACTTGAGAAGAATGTACATTCTATTGTTGTTGGGTGGTGTGCTCTATAGATGTCTGTTAGGTCTAGTTGGTTTATAGTGTTGTTAAAGTTTTCTATTCCCTTGTTGATCTTCTGTTTAGGTGTTCTATCCATTATTGAAAGTGGGGTATTAAAGTCTCCAACTATTATTGTTGAATTGTCTATCCCTTTATTTATATCAGTCTGCTTCATGCATTTTGGTGCTCTGCTATTAGGTGCATATATATTTATATTTGTCATAACTTCCTGATGGATTGACCTTTTCATCATTACAAAATGTCCCTCTATATCTCTAGCAACACTTTTTGTTTTAAAGTCTATTTTATCTGAAATCAGTAGAGCCACTCCAACTTTTTTGTGGTTGCTGTTTGCATGAGTGGTTGCTGCTTGCATGAGGGAAAAAGGATTCTGTACCTCTCAACTGCCCTCACCCAGGACTTAGCCCCAGCATCAGGTAGCGGGGATAGGATGAAAATGGATGAAGACCTGTTCCTCCTTGGAAGAAAACTATCTGACTAAGAGCTGGGGGAAGAAGGAACTGTGCGATCTTAGCTGCAGTAGTCTGGAGTGACATCTCCGTATTACTGAGCTGGGAGGGAAGAGTAAAGAAACTCTTGGTTTAAATATCACAGACTCTAGTTTTTCTTTCTGAATTTTTGTTGACTTTCTCAAATAGGTATTTCTTTACTTGCTGTTTGGCTTTTAAACTTTTCCCAGGGACTTTACATAGTGTTTTCTCTTCTTTTCTTTCCTTTTTTTTGATCCTTGTTTTTTTTTTAGTCCACGCTGAAGAATGCATGGAGCTCACAGACGGGACCTATGTGTGAGCCCTGAGGCACCTTCTGCTCCATCTGTTGCCTGGCCATCTGGCCTCATGAAGGACTGCAGTGTTTGCAGGTTCTAAAAAGTGCTGGCATATTAGTTATCAGAATGATCTGGGTGCCACCGAAATAAAAAGGTGCATTTAGGTGTCCAAAAGAAAGATTTTTGTGACCACTGGCATTGTCCTATAATGGCATTTCTTGTCTTGGGGAGTAATCAACAGGGTTTAAGCAGGGAGAGAAACCTGAGGGGTGGTGTGTTAAAGGGACAATTTGGGAACATGGGAAGAATGTAATTGCATGTGTCAAACAAATTTGAACCAAATGATCTCTAAGAGTCTGTATATTTCTGTGTCCATGATCCTAGCTGCAGATTTCATATTGGACAAATGTATGGATAAATTGTTCCTCCCCACCCCTCATACTCAACCTCATAACTTTCACCCTCAGAGATAAGAAGTTTTAGGTAAATTCATCTCTGAATGCTTGCATGACTTTAGAAAGTCTCCATACAGCTTATAACAGAGGAATTTTGGTGTAGGTGAATGAAATTGTTTGATATTTTATGTACAAGTTGAACCCTTTAATAAAGTTCTATCTAGCTCATTTAACTCAGATCTTTCCAATGATGGAAACTCCTTTTCATCTAAATGCAGTATGAAACTCTGTTGGAGAGGCCCAGAAAACATCCTGGAAACCTGTCGAAAGATCTCAGCCCCTTGAGCTTCCTAAAATGAAGAGGAATGATCTGGGCCCATCTAGTTATGAGAGCCCACATTAGGGGGAGTGGTGTACAAAAACTCTTTTCTGAGGTGATTTGCATGTTAAAAGAGGAACTTATTGACCCAAGTGATTCCTTGGTTAATGGCCTCCCTGGAAATAGATTCTGTCCACCCTTCTTAGCTCCTCTCCCACTTCCCACAAACTCTACAGCAGTAGCTCACTAGTGGTGGAGTAACACTGGTTTGGAAAATGTCTTTAATTATGGCTGTCATTTACCTGTTAGGGTCTTTTGTGCTGGGAATTACAAAGATACATTCCCGCTTGCAAAAGGTCTTCTCTATCCAAGATTTCTGACCCTAGAAGAGAGAGAAGTAGAAATCAGACCAATATAACCCCAAACTATCACCAGGGTTCATTCTTATACTTTTATAAAATAATATGCCATTGATAGGATATCTTTCCATAACATCTGAATAGTCACCCACAATAATGGTGGATGCAAGACTTTAGGGATCTTAGCTCTGCTGCCTTTTAAGAGAAATGACTTGCAAGTATGTATTTGTGATTCGCTTTTTTTTTTTTTTTTTTAAGTTGGAGTCTTATTCTGTCACCCAGACTGGAGTGCAGTGGCCGCTCCTGGCCACCGCAACCTCGACCTGCTGGGCTCCAGCGATCCTTCCGCCTCCGCCTTCCGAGTAGCCAGAATTACAGGCATACGCTACCACGCCCGGCTGATTTTTTGCTTTATTGTAGAGATGAGGTCTCGCTGCCCAGGCGGGTCTCGAACCCGTGGACTCAGGCAAGCCACTCACCTCAGCCTCCCAAAGGCGCGGGATTACAGGCTGAGCCACCAAACCCGGCTGTGATTCCCATTTTGAACCCTAATTCCTCTGTATCCATCTGTTGAAGATGTTTTGGTGCAAGGTGCTGTACTGGGTGTTGTGGGGACTTTGGAAGAGATAAACTACAGGATGAGTGTCCTTCACCATCTGGAAAATCAGATGGGGGTGCAGACAGCAAGTGAAGAAGGGGACAGGCTGTTTGGGGAGGATCCTGGAGTGAGGGCAGTGGGGAGGAAAGTCCCTGGGAGCCCTGCCTGTACTGGGTGTGCTACGGACCCTGCTGGCTCTGTCCCCCATGGCCCTTTTGTCTGCGGTCACCAGGGGCATCTCACACAGAAGAGGAACCCAAGGCTGCGCACAAGGAAATGATCCACCCACCTGCAGCAGAAGGGCCCCATTGGTCTTGCCCCCAGGATTCGGGGAGTCTGGAATCAGTTGGTGGAGAAAGCGGGTAGTGCCCTTTCCTGGGTGGAGGTTATGCGGTGGGTACAGGCAGGTGACAAGGCAGGTGCTTGGAGGTCCCTCTGCAGAGCTCGTGGGAGGCTGGTGTAGGGCCAGCATTTCTTCTCTGTAGCTCTATGAGACCTGGCTCAGTGTGTGTTTGTATATGTGTGATATGTGTGTTTTTGTGCCATACTTGTGTGTGTGTATGACAGACATATGGTGTGTGAGTGTAGAGTGTGTAGTGTGATGTGTGAGTGTGTGATGAGTGTGTATGTGAGCCGATATGTATGTGTGTGGTGTGTGTTTGTGTGTGTGGTGCATGTGGTATGTCTGGGGATATGATACATGTGGTGTGTGTGTTTGTGTGTGTGTCTGCTGTATATGTGGTATGTATGCAGTATATATGTGGTGTGCATATGGCGTGTGTAGAGCGTGTGTGGTCTGTGGTATGCATGTCCGTGTGTGTCTCTGGGAGAAGTTGTGGGGTGGGCTGCAGGAAAAGGGAAGTGGAGCAACTTTGCGAAGCTCACACAAGCCTGAGTCAGATCTTAGAGGAAGCCTGGAGGGCTGAGCCTCATGTCCTTGGCCACTTTCCCACAGTTGTCATGGGACTGTCGCTGTGTGATCTGCAACCGGGGCATGGGACAAGTATTGAGTGGGACAAGGCTCGGTGCTGCCCTTCTAACCATTTTCATCCACCCCAGCCACAGTGCTGATCTGGGATTCCCTTGTCTCTGTGGAGGTTCCCTTCTTGGAAGGCTGCAGTGACAGCCCAGTGTCACAGGGGCCCTCCTCAGCGAGGTCGTGTCAAGGACTGAGCCACATTTGTGGCTCCACGAGATTCCTGGACCTCATCCCAGCTGTATAGAGATGGAATGAAATGGAGCCCTCCTGGGGAGATCCCAGGGTCAGCTGGTTACTTGGCTCTTTTTGAATAAAGGGAATGATTATCATTCAAAACCTTCCCCAGGGACCTTCAAAAAGCAACACTGCACATTTTTCTATCCAAATAATTTAATGACTGCTTGAAATCTACATCACTGGCCTCAGAGGTTGGTGCTTTTGTGCAGCTAAAGGAAAGCAGGTGGCATGAACCCAGAGGAGGAAACCCAGAATGGAGGCCTCGGTCCCTGCCCAGCCCCTCCCGTGGAATGTTATGACAGTGTAAGACAGAAGGTGGGATGTTGCTGCCTGAAAGCAAGGTGTGCTTCCCTCTTTTGCATTTTGTGCCTCGCTTCAGAGAAACTGGGAGAGCAAACCCTTGTTTTTTTTTTAAACACAGGAGTGACAATATTTGGACTACATGGCAACTAAAGACAATAAGAACGCTGAGCAAATATTCAACTCCCATGAGTCGGTTACTTTTTCAGAGACATCAGATAGCAATTCTGGAACTGTCTTCTGTGTATTCCAGGACTGAACACAGACATCATTATGCTGTGGATAGCTGGAGCTGGGTTTCTCACTGCTGGAGAGGGGAACTGCAAATATGGAACATAGGGAAGGTTGAATGAACCCTGTAGCATTGCACTAAAATTGAAGTTATCAGTGTGAAATCATGGTTTGTAATATGTAGAAACAGGTATAAAAACAGATATAGATATGTGTGTGGCCCTTTCTCTCTTTCTACACACACATACACACACACATGTGCGTGCGCACACGTATAAGTTGTAACGTATAAGTTATCTATTGACTCACATAACAAATTTCCCCTAAACTTAGTAACTTAAACATTTATCATCTCACAACAAAAATTTATCAGCTCACAGTTACTATGGACCTGGAATTGGATTGGCTTAGCTGCGTGCTTTTGACTCTGGGTATCTCACAAGGATGTGATCATGATGTGGGTGGTGGCTATGGTCTCATGAGAAGGAAGGAGACCAAGAAGGATCCATTTCTGAGCTCTCTCAGGTGGCTGTTGGCTCCAGGCCTCCCTCAGTTCCTTGCCACACAATCCTCTCCATAGGGCAGCCCATGACATGGCAGTTGCCCTCTACCAGAGCAAGCAAGCCCAAAGGGCACAAAAGGCAGAAGCCACGGTCTCCTTATCACCAAATCTCTTTGGTTACACCCCACCATCTTGCCATCTTTTGTCATTGGCAGTGAGTCACTCAGTCCATCTCACACTCAAGGGGAAGGGATTCTGCAAAGCATGAATATCAGGCACCAGGGACCAAGGGGGCCATATGCCCACTCCACCTGCACATGTACATCATACATTCATATCTTTCCTAGTTCTAGCTACTGAAAAGACTGAGCAAGAATAACATCCCAATAGCAATGAGCATATTTAGTGCTTAAATATTGGCTTCTAAATACCATTCTCCACTAGAAGGAACCCGGGCTGGGGCAGGGAAATATAAGAAGAGCCCGGAACATCTTGTCGTGCCAGAAAGTGAGAAAGTACTTTGGGAACATGTCAAAAGAATGCAGAAAACCCCTTGACAGGGCTCCCAATGACTTTATCTGGGATTATTTGAGTGTGAAAATAAATGATCATAAAAAAGAATTATAATCCTTCAACTTAAATTAGGATCTATGAGTCCGCACCGATGTAATTATATACATAAATAAACAGGGAAGAGGAAAAACTCTTTCCCCCAGTGGCAAGTAGCCAAATAAATGTAGAAGGAAAGATGGAATCAGAAAATAACTATCTGGCAGCCATCACGAATCTCTGATGAATGCTAAAAGTGGTGGGTAAAAGTTTGAAGAGTAACAGTATGTTTACATCATCTCAAAATATCGCCCATAGAAGTTTATTAATTACAAAGGGGAAATCAGTAACTTGACAGTGAAGAAATCGGGTGAACAGCACCTGAAACCTGCATCACCAGTATGGGAACAAATACTCAGGATGAGGCTCCCGATGAGCCAGGAGTGAGAAGAACAACGGAGCCAAAAACGCATCACCCGCATCTAATCTGGAGGAAGCACCGACAACCTGAACCGAGGGTCCTCCCGCAAAATAACGTCAGGGCCGTGAAAGGCAAGGAGAGACCACGGCAAGGCTGGCCAGAGACCAGGCCGCGCCCCGCCCCGCCCCAGGCCCCGCCCCGCGTGCTTTCCAGGCCCCGCCCTCTCATCCTTTCCCACGGCCCGTCCCGCAGGCGCCTCCGGTCCCGGGACAAGAAACCCGCCGCGGGGCGCCGCCCCGGAAAGCCTGCCGACTCAGCCCGGCGACCCTAAGACCAAAGTTCAGTCCCGGAGCTCCTGGGCTCAGGCCTCACGTTGTCCCAAGGGGGGACGTCACCTCCCTGCAGGATTCGGCGCCACCAAGCGAAGAGGCCCCGAGGGCCGCGCCGGGCCGCTCGCTTTCACGACCGAGAGCACCCGCCCCGGCCCGCCGCGAAATGCCCCCATCACGGCAGCACTTCCGGCCTCCTCGGGGCGGCCGCGGGCGCCTGTGGCTCGCCCCGGGGCGTCGGCCTTGCGTTTCCGTTTGCTGCCCCAGGCTCCGGGAAGCAGGGCCCTGGAGCGTCGAGCGCCCGCCCTGGCGGGGCCTGGGCACGTGCCGCTGTCGTCCACAGCAGGCAGGCGCGGCCTGCTTCCTTCTGCCTCACCAGAGACCCCCGTTTTCCTCCTAAAAGTGCTGGCGTGTGCCTAATGTACTTTCCCTGGGGAGAAAGGAAGGGCTTTGCTTTAGTACGAACCACTCGTTTTTTTAAAGTTTATGTACGTGAATAGCATTAGTTCTACATTGCAAGTTACTGCTGAGTCCCAGAAATGTTCTAGAACCGGCTGGGGATCAACAAGAGGACTAGGAGCCATTCTTTGCCTGCAGTCCTTATTTTTGGGAAGCAAAACATACCGATCATGCCCTTCTTTTGTCCCGGTCTCTGCTCAAATGTCACCTCTTCCGGGAGGCTCTCCTGACTCTCCCTCCTACCCCAGCCGCTGGGACCCTGTCCTACTCTCCGTACTCCGTTTCCTGCTGAGCTCCTCCCTCTCCTCTGCTCCTCCTCCTCAGAAAGCCACAGAGGCAGCAGCCTCTCCAGCCCTCTGCTCTATGCCCAGTGCTTCCAGGAGGCCCGGCAGAGTCATGTTCAATATCTCTTAATGAC